CCACATAAAATGAATTTTTGATCAGTTTTCTATCATTTTCATTTCAATTAGACACCTGAAGACTCCCCCAATCTCTAAGTAGTTGGTATAAACATAAAACCAAACTAACACACTAACTTAGATTTCCAGTCTCAACATAAAAACAAACATACTAAGAAGATAAAATAAAAATACAGGGCAACAGTTTTCTTAGTTTAAAATTTAAAACTACATTGGGGAAATGGTGGAACTTGATCAATTTTTGAATATAAGAGATACAGTTAAGTTTCACAGAATATGACCCTGGAAATTGCTCAACAAATTTGATATGATTTCTGCACATACAAGGGATTACCAGAAGCTTGATGTTATGCCAATCTTCTCAACAAGTAAAAAACTTAAGCCAACTTACATTATAAGTATCAATATTCAGAAGCTTGAGTAATCCTGACCAAATTTCTTGGGAGAAATCACAAGAGAAAAATAAGTGGTCCAAGGTTTCTTCAGCAGCATAGCATAATGGGCAGATAGAAGGTCCTCTCAACCCTTTCATCTTTAAAATGTCATCAGTAGGAAGTAAGGAGTGCCGCAGTCACCAACAGAAGGACATAGAAGGGGTTAGGAGTTTACCCCAAATGGCTTTTCCCCAAGGCATCTGATTCCAATTAAAAAAGTGATGATAAATGTAGGCAGATAATTTCAGGGAATAAGCATGTTTAGTAATAATTCTATCTTTGGAACTAGATGAGAAGGGAGTATCCTTAACCCATCTAACATGTTCACTAGATAGAACAGTGTTAAGCATTCTGCAGTTCCACTGATTAGCAGACCAATAATCTCTGACCTGACAATTATAGTTGGGGTTGGGGGTAAGGCACTCAAGCTCTCCCCATTGCTAACCCAATTATCTAACCAAAAACTAACCTGGCCATCTCCCAGCTCCCATAGGAAAGGTTCCTCAGCTTGATTTCTGATGTTGAATAGTTTGGTCCACAATTTGGAATCCCTCAATTTTTTGGTTACCAATACAGGATGCAAAGTTCTACAATATTTCCCTTTCAGAAATCTTGCCCAAAGACTATGCTGGGCCTTGAATCTGATCCGCAATTTGCAAAGGTTTATGAAACCCAGGTGTTGAAAGTCTTTAAAGCCAAGCCCACCAGCCTGCAAAGGTTTGCATTACTTATGCCAAGAGAGCCAGTAGAATTGTTTCCTTTGACCAGACCAGAATATATATATATATTATATGCATATGTTGGAAAAGGCAAGCCACGAACTTACCACACAATGGCACACACAATGGAAATGCATAAATAAATAACGAGAATCCACAATAAATTTTTAGCCTAGAAAACGTCTAAAAAAGTTTAAAAATCACGTGACCCGTTGGCCACTTAATCACCTCCACAAATCAATTTTATGGTACATAAAATTCTTTTCTAGAATACTAGAAGAAATCAATAATCAACAATCACTAAGTAGGTGGTATACATCAACTTCATCAAACATAAGGAGTTGGTAATCTCACAAAATTCAAGATTAAGATAGAAAAAAATGTTGGCAACCATCACAAAATATCCTTCCTTCTCCTTCCCTTGGATTTCCTTCAATTGCCTTGTTTCACGTCGCCGCAAGTTTGTCACTACTATGGATGTTGTCACTTGATCATTTGTTCACGAATGCAATGGTATTAGGCTAAAACGAAGAATCTAGAGGGAGGGACATCTAGCTCTGGAAAAAAATGAGAGTGAACAGAATAATTTTTTAAAAGGAAAATTGAAAATAAGCTTTCAATGAACATCGTTGCCTTCATGTTCACCATATCAAAACCTTTTTTATTTGTCCGGATCTTCTCAAGTTGTAATTTTTGAGTCTAATACATTATGAATCCAATAATATCTCACCTTAATTTGCTTAGACTTGAATGGTATGTGAAATTCTTGCTGAGATTTATTGCAGTCTGACTATCATAGTATAAGATAAACTTATCATGCCTGTGACTTAACTTTTGTAGGAAACTCTTCATCCACAAAACTTCTTTGTAAGCTTCTTTAACTGCAATATACTCGGCCTCTGCAGTTGATAAGGCCACACTCTTCTGTAATTTAGATTGTCATAAAATTGCTCTTGCAAAAGTAACCAAGTATCTCGAAGGGAACTTCTTTGTGTCCACATCACTGGCCATATCTGCATCTTTGTAACCATCTAAAATTGAATTATTTTGTCCAAAACATAAACACACTTTGGAAAAATCTCTAAGATACCTGATAATCCATTTAACTGCTGCCCAATGCTCTTTTTTTGGATTGGAAAGAAGCCGACTAACAATGCCAATTGCATGAGCAATATCTGGTCTCATATGTAGCTTACATCAAGCTATCCACTGTGGATGCATAAGGAATATTCTTCATCTGTTCCTTGCATTTTCACTTGTAGGGCATTGCTTAATTCTAAGTTTAAATTTACCTGTAAGCGGAGAAACAACTGACTTCGCACTGCTCATTTTGAATCTTTCATGAACTTTCTCATGTACCTTTTCTGAGATAACCATAATATTTTCTTCTTTCTCTCACGAATAATTTTCATTCCAATTATTTGCTTTGTTGAACCCAAATCTTTCATTGCAAAAGATTTACTGAGTTCTCTCTTGAGCTTCTCAATTTTAAGCATATCATGACCAATAATCAGCAGATCATTGACATATAATATGAGAGTCACAAATCACTATTAGACAACTCCGTTATAAAGAACATAATGTTCAGAAGTAGCTTTACTGAATCCATTTGTTTTCATCGATATATAAGAATTCTTGTACCATTGTCTTGGAGCTTGCTTAAGTCCATATAAACTGTTTCTCAATCTGCTAACAAGATCTTTTGCTTTTTCTCTGAAACCCTTGAGTTGGTCCATCTGAATCTCCTCATCTAAATCACCATAAAGAAAAATTATCTATACATGATGTTGTTCCACTTCCAAATTCAAACTGACAGCTAATTGTAGAACTCGGATTGAACTCATCATTATCATCGGTGAGAAAATCTCATCGAAATCGACACCCTTTGTCTAACTAAATTCCTTCATAATCAATCTTTCTTTGTACTTCAGTTGTAAAGCTTTCTTGCCCTTTGTGAGTTTCACCAGATCTTAAGTGTGGTTCTCATGAAAGGATACTATCTCGTTGTTGAATCCGAAAGTGTCCAAAAAATACACCCAATGAATAGAGCGTACCAAGGGGAAGAAGAAACAGTAGAGAGCAACGAAAATGCGCAACCTTTTATTATTGAATGACTCTTATTTATGGACATAAGGGTATGAAGGTTAAATTACAGATTAGCCTCCTAATTATTAACTTCTGTGAGGGTCACTGATATTTAGTCCACTGACCTTTAATCTTAGTTGGCCGATAGCTTTCGGGCTACGCGTTGGCACTCGATCGTTGATGCATGATCGGTCGTCTCAATTAATGCCGACCGTTTGAATTGTCTTTGAATGATCCTCAGACCTTTTCGATCGTTGGCCGATCGGATGGTTCGATGTAAGGTTGACCGATTGATCCTCCTCTTCGATCTTTATACACATCGATCGCTTTTCTCCCTCTGATCACCGTGCTTCTTCAGATCCGCACTATGGTTAGCTGGTCGTTCGATCTTCCAACAATCGTCTTCTACCCTGGTTGTTGAATTGCTTTGAGATTCATGTCATCGTATTTTCGTATGTATATTTAGTTCTCCGTTTTTATTGCTTCTCGAAAGTTGTGAGTGTAGGAAAACAAGGGAATCTTTTCAAAAGAAAATGTAAAAATGCTATAAAATTAAATGACATAATTGCTTAATAAATGACTTCCCTAAATTTCCGCGATTAGACCGTTATAAATAATCCACAAAGCGTTAGAAAGTGCTCGCACACTTTTCTTTCTTTGCTTCTGATCTTTTCTCTCGAT